GCAGGAAGCTGTTTGAAAGGGTCATTGAAAAACGATCTTCTAAATCAAGCTGGAACAGTATTTTGATTTCCTTTCATGTGATGCCGCATTTCAACGCATTAGACGAGTCTGTTCTTAAATCCTGGAAAACAAGTCCCAGTGACTTGAGCTCAGGAAAACAAAAGGTCCAACACTCACAGCAAAAAATCACAAGCAGTTGACAAGCATCCTTCTTACTGTTCGTGGAACCTAAGTATTGTATGACATGAAACACACACACACGCGTGCGCGCGAGCACCCAAAATTTCTTTTTCAGAAAAATCTCACATGCTTTGTGATAAAATTCTCATGATTCTAATAATTTTTTAAAATAAATATAGATTGTTAATTTTATTTTACCTTACATTTAATTATTTTATATTTAATTTAATTTTAAACTTATTTTTAAAAGTAACTGGCTAATTGCTGTGCCTAATCTGAAAACAAGGCCTTGTATAGTGTTAAAAAAAACAAATTCAGAGCCATGACTTGCTAGATGTCCTTGGGTTTCTCCCCAACCCACAGCCCTAACTTAAGGCTGTGGCTCAGGCCTGTAACCCCAGCACTGGGGAGGCAGAGGCAGGATGATAACGGTACATGTGAGGACAGCCTTGTCTACAAAGTAGTAGTTCCAGGCCAGCTAATGCTCCACAGTAAAAACCTTTACCCTAGAAAACCAAACCAGCCGGGGGTGGGGGCGGGGAGAGTAGTCAAGAAGTCAAAACAGGAACTCTTGAAGTCTCTCCATTGGGGTCACCAGCGTTCACAACTCCTCTCTCATAGTGGTTCCCAACTTTCCTAAGGCTGTGACCTTTTAATACAGTTCCTCGTGTTACAGTGACCACAAACCATAAAGTTATTTCTTTGCTACTTCATAACTGCAATTTCGCTACTGCTGTGAATCGTGTTATAAATACGTGACACACAGGATATCGGATGTGCAACCCCAAAGGGGTCGCAACCCACAGGTTGAGGACCACTGTTCTACCGGCATGCTAGTTTTGACGCTAAATAGGACAGGTAAGTCACAAGGCCCCCAAAACCAGCAAGGAGCACTGGGAAAGTGGAGAAAATAAAGTCAGGGTAAAAAGACAAAATGTCCCCTTAGTACAATGTGGCCAGGAATCGGTCTGACAAGCAAGGCTCTAGAGTGTGAATTGGAAGGCACCATGGAAAACAAGACCAGAGGTGAGGAAGGGGACCCCACCTCCAGGAGGGTTTTCTGCCAGCTACAGAGTCACAGGGAGCTACCGCGTGGCTAGAAGCTGCCCCAGCTCTGGGTTCTGCAGACAGCAGGAAAACCTCAGCTAAAATATTAAGATCAGGATAACAATGGTTAACAGTAAAGGAACGAGCATAGGAAATCTCATTTTCTGAGACCTCCAAACACTGCCAATCTTTCATGTTATGTCTTACACAACTCAAGCCTTTACTGTTCAGATCTAACCTACCAGTGCCTGTGAGAGAAAACACCTTACTGAATCACTACCACCTTCAGAGATGGAGGCTTACACAAGCCGCTACTATTAGGACTGAAGTCACAGGTTCTGACATGGTGAAGTCTCAGGAATTCAGTGGCTGTAAACTCCAAAGGTAGGCTTCCATTTGAAGTCAGTGGGAAAACAGTGAAAGAGGTTTGAGGCTTGCAAGTTGTACTTCTGGGACCTCTCTTGGCTTCAGCTGTTACCAGCAGGACAAGTAAGTTATAAATGAGCTTTGAAGAGGCTGGGGACATGGTTCAGTGGGTAAGAGTGCTTTGCTTTGCCAGCATGAAGACCTGAGTTCAAATTCCAGGATCGACATAAAAAAGCCAGGCATGGCTGCACATGTCTGTAACCCTAACCCTGCATCAAAGACAGGCAGATCCCAGGAGCTTTGTGGACAACTGTCCAGTCTAGCAGAAATGGTGAAGTTATAATTCAGTGAGAGCCTGTCCCAAGGCAATAAGGCAGACAGTGATGGAGAGACTCCTCTCCCATTCTGCTCTGTCTTCTAAACAAGTATATGTGCTGGTGTACCCGTGTGCATGCCACACACAATGGGGGATTTACAAATAGATGGGTCAGCTCCTTTTCAGTCGCCCCCCCCCACATACCTCCCAAAGGAACTTCATTGGATATAAAAGGAAAATTTCTGCCCTCTTATAGGTTTCTGACTATCACAGGCTAGTCAATAATCACTGTGAAGATAGTAAATAATCCTCTCCTGAACAGTTCAGGAACCTGGGGTCTCTGCACAATGTGGCTCTGATTTAATGGGTCTGAGATAAGGGTCAGAATTCCACATCTTTAATGACCTTCCAGAGCTACTGATGCAGGGACAATACTTTGCATAGCAAAGCTGCATGCGGCTCTCTAGCCTTGACCAGGTGCAGAGGAATCTATCATCCACAAGCGGCTCTCTAGCCTTGACCAGGTGCAGAGGAATCTATCATCCGCAAGGCTCTTCAAGGAACATATCTTATTTCAACAAATCATTGAACCAGTCTTACTGAAGGGGGAAAGAAGGGGGGGGACTAATAGAGGCAATATACCACGTATCACTCAAAATCTAACTGGATACTAAGTGCAGAACTGCTGGCTGCTTCTGGGATTTTCTAAAAATGTTTACTACTTGCCCAGCACACAGAAACTTCCACAAACACGCTCATGATGAATGTGCAAGCATGAATATGCAGACAACTAACAGAAGAGGGAAGCGAACTGCGAGAATGTGGCCCCCATCAGTCCCTGTGCATACTCCAGTGGTCCGATAAAGTTTTCTGCTGGTCATCTGTCAAGATGAGATGATACAGACCACCATCGGGCTACTGAACGGGAGTAAGGGAGGACAAGGAGAACAGCTGGAGGTGGGGACAAAGGAAGCAGTCCGTACAGATGCCACCTTCTGGAGACCTCAGACCCAGGTGGCCCACTCAGCACCTTTACCTAGACTGCTCACTTAACTCTTTTCCAAACCTCTGTGAATTAGGGATTACAGTTTTCATTTTACAGCTGGGAACCTGAGGCACAGAGGAGAAACAACACAAGATAATTCAGGAAGGAAGGAGAAGGCAGGCTTTGGAGCAGAGCCATAGAAGCCTGGTTCCCAGGAGGCACAATGGCTCACTGGCTGGCAGTCAGCCACAGCAAGCCTGACACCACTGCTCTGATCCGTTTTGCAGGTCCTGGTCGCCTGAATCGGCCTGGCTACGTGACCTCTCTAAATTGGACAGTAGTCATGTCAAAGATATAACTGGTATTTTTGGTGCCTGTATTTTTATTATACGGATGCACTGACTGTGGAGGCTCCATGTGTGGCAAGATTTTCTTTCTAGCTTTTCAAAGGCAGGAGGTAAAGCAAATGGGTGTAGTGACTACCACTACAAAGACAAAAATGGAGAGGGTCTTTTAAACAGTTTCAACATACAAAGAACCCTCATATGCCTGTTTATACAAAAGGTTCAATGGTCTCTATTCTACCCATTCTGTGTATCTCCTCCCCCGATAGATAGATAGACAGATACATACATACATACATACATACATACATACATGACAGATATAGATATGGATAGACATCCCTCCCTTTTCCTCTCTCCCATTTCCTCTTCCCTTCTTCCCCTCCCTCTCCCCTCTCCCCCATCTCTCTTTCTCTCCATTGTCTTTGGAATCTTTTCAGAATGATCAATAAGATCCGTTCCTATATTCCTTCCCGTGATTCCTAAAGACCAGGCCATTCTCTTACATGATCACAAACAAGTCATCAGCTTCAGGAAAAGTTACTGTTCATTTAGTCCCTTTATCTAATCTACCATCTACAACCAAGGCTGCCATTTGGCCCATTGATAGCTTTTGTAGTCATCACAGTATGTTTTAATAGCTGCATGTATATGAAGAATTGATATGAATAATTAAGAATTAATATGAGCAGAGTGTGTGGGCGTCCAGAGAGCCATTTGGCCCCAGTAACTCAGTTGCCTCGCACATTGCCTTTCTAAGATCCAGTGGAAGCACGGTCCCTGCTTCCCCTATCATGGAAAAGAGGCCAAGGGGAGCCTCAGAGCTTGGGTCATTCCCAGAGCACTGCTCAGTGCTGACTTTAAAGACTTTCTCCCTTCCCATACCAAGAGACTGAGCACTAATCTAAACATTTTAAACTCCTAAAATAAATACCATTTGGATGTTTATCTCTCTAAACACTCACTTTTATGTCAACCTACAGACTACAATCAACACCCGCAACTACGGTGGTAGGAGAGTCCTGAGCTAGGCCAGGGGAGTGTACTGCAAGAGTACGATAGGTCCCTCAATGGCATTTTAGGGCCTGACCTCTGCAGCACCAGCCTAGCCTGCGTTGCTGAACCCATTCCTCCTTACACCTAGAACCCCAACCCACAAGCAAAAGACTGTCAGTGCCAGGGTTGGCCTCAACAGGGAAGGCAAAAAGGCACCAATATTACCTCCCAGGTGAGCGGGTGATTTCCCAGGCTTCAGCAACAGCCTAAAATGATGCACCATCACAACAATGTCTGTTCAACAGTGAAGCCGCCGTTTCAGAAAGGGAACTATGGGGTTCAGATCCTCACACTTCCCCTGGGTTCCTTTGCCTTGGGCTGGTTACTGAGAGTGGCTGGACCTCAATCCCTTCATCCACACACTCAGATAATCAAACATGCAGCAGAAAGGAATGGACAGCAAGCTTGAAGGCTAGCACGTGGGAGGCCTCGTTCTTGTTTCTGCTGCTTAGAAGCACAAGAAACCTTCTTCTGAAGGTGGCCTGGCTTGCGACAAGCAAGCCTCTGCTAGCCGCAGAGTCTGGAAGGAACAGGGCAAGTTTAGGTCTGTAAGTGTGAATGGAGCATGCCTGGAAGTTTTGACTGAGAGTCTGCAAGGCTCACTGCCTGTGGGAAGTACAAAGAAGCAGGACCCTTCCGTAGTAAGTGCTGCCTCTGGTCGGGGATCAGAATTTTGCTTGTGTGGCAGGAAGAACAAAATATTTACCTTTTCCAGGGCCTCTTTGTCAAGCAGCTCTTGCACAGCTAGAAGTTTGATGCTGTAAGACAAAAATGAAAGCAGCGCATGAAACAAGTCATTTCGTGTTACCACCCATCATCCCACAGGGCACAAGAGTAAGCATGTGAACTCTCAGCCCCTCTTTCTACGTCGCATCCTACCTCAAGGTGCCTCTTCTGTTGTTTCTTTCTTTGATTCCAAATGACTGTTCCAAATACACTTAAAGTGTTTCCAAACTCTAAAAGTAACTTCATCACAAGGTTATACACTTCTATTTTCAGTAGACGTTGAAAGTCAGCCCTTGAAAAGGATTTGCACACCAATGTTCACACTATTCCTCATAACCCAAAGATGGAAACAGCCCAAATATAAATCAGCAGACTAAATGAACAAATGCAAATGCAAGCTGGTGTGTGTGTGTGTGTGTGTGTGTGTGTGTGTGTGTGTGTTATTCATCCTTAAAAGGAAGGGTATTCTAATACCTACAACATAGATCATAGATGTACCTTGAAGACATGCTAAGTGAAATAAGTCAGAGACAAAAGATTTAACTTACATGAGGTACTAAGAGTAGCCGAGAGGATACAGACAGAAAGAGGAGTGGTTCTTTCCCAGGGTTATGGGTGAGGGGGTGGAGAGCTATTGCTCATGCGGTATGGCACTTCTGTGTAGGATGAAGAGAAAGTTCTGGAGTTAGACGGTGGTGATGGCTACACAACAGTGCAAACATGCTGCTACCACAAAAATGTGGGCTTAATGACTGATGGTTAAATGGTAAATTTTGTTATATACATTTATCACAAAACATCCTTACAGTGACTGAGAACTGTTTCATACAAAGAGCTTGGGTAAGTTCCAAGGAATGTACGAATTCAACAGTTACTCGTGTTCAAATTAATCTGCACTCACAACTCTTTCTGTGATGCTGGACAAATAGTAATCACCATGCACTGCTCACCGTGTGCCCCACTGTGTGTCTGAGGCACCGATGGTGACTCACTGTGTTCCCACTGTGTGCCCCACTGTGTGCCCCACTGTGTGCCTGAGGTTGGGAATGAGCATGACTTAGGACATGCTGCCTCCCTGTGAGGAATTCAAGGCTGCTTGGAAGCCAAGGTCACATCAGGATATAAAGTGAAATGTGCCAACTGGATGCGCAGAGCTACTAAGGGAACCCTGGCTCCACAGAGAGCATAGGGGGCCTTCTGAAGGGACCAAAATAGCCTTGAGAGGTGAGAAATAGGGATGAATGCTATCTGTAGAGCAGTGGCTCTTAACCTGTGGGTCGAAGCCCCTTTGGCAAACCTCTATCTCCAAAAAAACTTAAAATTCATAACAGCAGCAAAATTACAGTTATGAAATAGCAACAAAAATATAAGTCACCACAATATGAGGAACTGTATTAAAGGGTTACAGTATTAGGAAGGTTGAAAACCGCTGCTGTAGAGGAATACCCAAAGACATCAAGAGGAGTGGGTAGGAACCCAGTTTCTAAGTTAAGGTCTGGAGCCTTGACTACAACCAGCGACTGAGGTGACAGAATCCAGCAGTGGATGTAGATTATAGGACAATGCTTTCTTTAATGATCTAACTGCTTCTAACACTTCTGTGGGCAGATGCATGAGAATCCAGACATGGTTTGGAGAAGAGTTGGGTGGTAACATTCCATCCCCAAGGCTGATGTACCTGTTTGCAGTCACTGGACATTGTGGCCCACACTTTACAGGTGGTGCGTAGCAGAGGGGGACCCTGATTGCACACACAGCTGCTCACGGGGATAATGCCACTGAAGGCTCACCAGCTCTCATAAACTTCTTCCCACTCTTGATACAACTAAGCAAGGGCATCTTACCAACGCAATGGCTTATCTTACTAGCAGGTCCAGGAAAGGCAACTGGTGCCTTCACGGCCTATAAGAAGCCTACCGCTACCTCCATCCACAGTTTGGCAAAGATAGGTGCTAAAAGACTGCCTCGGGGTATTTTCTCCACTACCCACGACTTCTCTTCCATCCACTGGGCAGATTTGTTTCCACTATTTCTCAGACTTAGGGGACACTTGTGTGGCTGTTCCCAAACAGCTTTACTGGTCAACCAAGGCAGAGGATTTCTACATAAACGCTGTTGTACTCAGGATACTTAGTGCTCTACTCTCTTTAAAGTTTTCATTTATGTTCTCCCAGCTACCGAAGCACTTTTAGGCCAAGGGCTTAGATGTTCTTGCCCATAGCTACACTTGTAATGTCTACAACTGACATGTGTAAAACATTCAAGGAGCATTTGCAACTTCATGGGCCAAGAGGCCTGAGGGCCACGTTACTTTGAAATCTTCTACATTCCAGTACGAACGAGTCAAACGCCAAGGCATGCCTCGGTTTCTCCGTCTGAGAAAACAAAGGAGGTGATGGGACAAGTTTACCCTGGGCAAAAGCTACTAAACATGGTTGTGTAACTGACTGTTGCTATAAAACAGACCCAGTGGCAGCTCAAAGCCATTAGTCCCTTCTCAGCACATTCTCACTACCAAAGCAAAGAGTCTAGGCTAGAAATGTGGGCAGCAATGTACGCGCTAAGTTAGGAGTATCCAGTCATAGCTCAAGTTACAGAAGCTTAAATTGCCTCTGAAATAACTACTGGAAAACAGTTACTGTGGAGGGACATGGTAAACAGCCTCCTGTTCCTGCGTGTTTGTGATCACAGGGTCTAATCAAGTGTCAAATATCAGAGAGGTGGAAGCTGTTCAACTTTTCCTCCCCATCCACAAAGGCATCACATTCAACCTACTGAGGAGCACCAAGGGAAATCTCTGGAAGAAAAATGAAATTAAAATAACCTCCATCCACTCCAGGCTACTACTCCCCACTCTATAGAACAGGTGTGGCATTGGCGTGGCTCCTCTCCAATCATCCCTGTCCCCTTTTACCTCTTTCCATGGGGCTTCCCACCGCTGAACTTCAATTGAACTTCAGAATCCTTCTCTGTACCCCAGCAAGCCATGGGCAATCTATCAAACCCACTTAATATCTACTCTGAAACCAATACTAGCATTAGTATCATTGGGAAAGGGCAGAACGAAACAGACATGCTCACACTTAAAAGCCCAACCCGAGATGGGGGGCGGGGAGTGATGATGATGAGATACTCAATCTAGAGACAGTTTGTGTCTCACCCCAGGAGCAGGGCAAGTGTGCAGCTGCCTACCCCAGGGGTTGCTACATGGAACCCTTCAGAAAGCTGTGGCTCTTACTCCTGAGACCTACAAGCACTGAAGGGACCCTTAGATGTCCCTTTAGGCACTGTTAAATCTAATATTGGGTGCTCAAGTCTCCATTATTTTTATCAGTACTGATGATATCCAATCTTCTAACTCACCTGGCACACTCTGGGAAGAGATTTCACACACATTTAGGGGCAGCAAACCTAGTTACCAAAGCTTCCATTTGACACCATCTCACTTCATACTTGGGAAGATCATTTTCTGATACGTTGTTTTCAGTTCTGCCCCTTCTCTATCCCTCCTTCTTTCTGCTACTTTTGCAAAGAAACACTACAGGTTTCCTGCTGTAGAAATTGCATCATGCTTGGGGGTGGGGGAGCACATGTGAGCACGTATTTGGCCCTGCCTTCAAGAGCTGAAAGGGATGAAGAAAGACGCTGCTTAGGTACATGCTCAGAGGCAGGAGTGTGGATTATTTAGACTCTCTCTCAGGCTCCAAACTGGATCCAGGCCTGAGCGCATGTCTGTGCGTGGCCTGACACCTAGTCAGCATTCTCTGAGATCAGCAGAGGCCAGACAGATGCACAGGAAAACAAGCAGTCTGTCCCGTGTCTGCACCCCACTTAGGGAAGAGAGGGAAAGTACAGAAAATCAGCTAGCAGCACTGATAGGATTCAAAAAAGACAACCTCCGTGGCAAGTCCTGAAGACAAGCAACACTTAGAAGCACCTAGAATACACACAGTTAACTTTTGCCACATAAGCCTCAAGGAAGCCACGTGCGGGGTAGGAGAGGATGCTGTCTTTTTCAGCAGGGCAACATCTGGCACAGGGAGGTCTCTAAGAGGATTAGAAGAGGCAGTGGGGAAGAGTGCTGAGTATGCTCCCACAGTGGAAAAAAACCTCAGAGATAAGCCGGGGGCAGCTGCAATCTGAGTGGCTTGGAGCCATAGACTGAACAGACCTCAGTCACCCAAGGGCAAGGCACTCCATAGAACCTACAACAGTTTTTTTTTAAGTGTTTGAGAATTTTATACACAAGTAGTGTATTTACATCATTTCTAACCCCCTCCACCCCATCCAACTCCTCCCAAGCCCAATTCCCTCTCAGATTCTTAACCTCTTCTTTACTTATTATTGTTTTATACATGCATATACACGTATGTATACATACAAACACATAATGAGTCCACTGAGTGTTGCTCATATGTATACGTGTGAAGGGCTGACCTCTTGAGATTGGATAATCTATCAGGGGCTCAATCTACCAGATAGAAGACTCTCAACAGTCATTAATCTCATGTAGCTCTCATCCAAGGTGGTATAGTGTGAGACCTCCCCCCCACACATTGCAATGTGAATTGGTATTATCATTGTACTGCTTTTGTTCAAGCAACCTTATTGCTGGGACCCCATGGGTGTAGCCATGGAATATATATAACATATATAACAGACACTATATCACAGCAGACACTCTGGTCCTCTGGATCTTACAGTCTTTCTGCCTCCTTTTCTACAATGTTCCCTGAGCCTCAAGTGTAAAGGCTATACAGGGGCTAAAACACATTGTTGTCTAGAGACCGGTATACATTCAGGGAGATTATACCCTAGTAAGAGGAAGACCAGAGTCAAGAACCACAGTGTGTAGGACAGAATGGCATGTGATAAATCCATGATGACATATGAACAAAACATTTAAGACTCCTGTTTTACACATCAAGCACTCCTGGGAGACACTGAGAAGCAAGGGTGGCCTTTGCCTTACAGCACCTGTTTGATAAAAGAACCAGATAATCCTATCAGCCACAAGGCCAGCATTCCCCAG